ACCCCAAAGAATATCCACAAAGGATTTGAAGTAAGTAAAATGAAATAACAGAAAAGTAAGTAAGTGGTAAATAACCGTTCATTCTAATATGATGACACTTTTGTCATAATAATTTATGGCACTTTTGTTTTTAGGTGACAAAATACTAATCATTCCTCTCCAATCAAGTCCCACCTTAGGTTAGCTTTCATTTTCTGATAAGTCTTTATACAGCCTTTCCCTGTTATCTATTTTCCATTCTCAATATGCTGTTGGAATAGTACATGGTAATTTAAACAAAGATCTCTTCTGGCAAGTATATCAATCCTCTCTGCTCTCTATCCCCTCATTTCTGTAACACGTAGCTTTAAGAAGTCCTTTTTCCTTGGCTTTTATCACAAATTAGGATCCAAGTTTTCCAAAATCTCATCTTTCTTTCCTGCTCTCTTGTGAACTGAGCATGAACTTAGGGCTTCATGCTACTGCTTAGCCCCTTTTTTGGGGGGGGGGGGGCGGCGGAGGAGAAGAGTGAAAAGGAGGGGAGGATGAGGCCAAGGCTAGTGCTCTAATACTTGAGAGTCATGCCTTCAGTCCAGCATTTTGCTGGTTAATTATTGCTAGTCTCAAGGAATTTTTTTGCAGGGATGGCTTAGAACCATGATTCCCCAGGTCTCAGCCTGCTGAGTATCTAGGGCACTAGTGCCCGACTTCTATTTTGTTTATATTACTACTCAGGGATGCAGATGCTTTAAGGTTTAGCATATTGCTCTCTATAGTTTTAATTATTTGTCACTTCTAAAAATATGAAACCATGCCTGTAGTTCTCATTACTCTTCAAACCTAATTCTTTAATTGTATCCTAAGTACTTTTGTTTTTCTCACTATCTCATACTTTTAAATCTGAGAAAAAGCCATTTCATATCTCTTTCCTAGACAACAAGAACAAGATTTTTAGTGTGAAAGTCTCAGCAGATCAACTCTTTGTGATGTTTCCTAATACTTTTTTTTAACCAAATAAGCTTACATACTATTTACAAATCCATTTAGCTTTACAGTTATATAGGTAACAAATTGTACAAGGTAATTATATATACAAGTTATGAGCTTACTCTCCAAAACACTGAAATATTGGATACAGATGGTATAGCAGTATGGAAATAGATTAAATTTATACTTAGAATTGCAGCCATCAATTTGATATTTTGTTACCACAATGGCAGACAATGTATGGGTTTCATTTGATTTTATTTAGCCACTCCTGTCATATCTGGATGGTAAATCTCTCAACCTTTTCTTGTCCATGAAAATGGACTCTGCAGAATCTTCATTAACTAATTTATTTTCCTATATACCTAATTTTATGTTTTTGTAATTTTTTGAGAAATTAATGCAAATGAAGTAATGAAATTTAATGCTATCCTCATAAGAGAAAATTTTACTTAATTCAGAAAAATCAAAGTTTATAACTTTTTCTTTGTAGAATGTTAATTTCTTTATATAGTGTTCATTACTTCAGCATTTACTGATGTAATGATAACTACATGAAACAAAACAGAAAAAAAGTTAATAATACAATATTATTAAAAATCAGTGAATTTATACCTTAGAATTGACAGCTAGGAAATAAGGTGTTAATCTTAAAAGTTTCTGGTAAAGTAACTTTACCTGATACAGGTTTCTCCTCTCTTCAGAAACCCCCAGGCTTCTACAGTTACTCCACTTTATCTAGCTACACATCTACAGAAGAGACAACTCATCCAATGCTAATGTCCTTGGAAAATGGTCAACTTTAACAGAATAAAAGCAGTGGGAAAGTCTTTTATAAAATATCAGAAAAGACTATGTTTTAGAGTAGTAGCAATTCTTAAAAACTAGATTAGAAATGCAAGTTCTGAAGAAACAAATGAGCACTATTTTTAATACATATCATGTGTTCATAATTAGCAGAAAAAGCCAGGATGAAAGCTTCTCAGTGGTGCTCATATGGGTTCATAATATAAATTTTGTGTTGTTTCACATGACAATTAAAATACATATACATACACACACTATCTCATCCTTTAAATACATCGTAACACAGACACAGCTTCACTTTTGAAGCAAATGGGCCTAACACAATTTTAGTGCCTTCAGTACTACTAGTACTTCTGTTTACAATGGCATTAGAAGAGTCAGATACAAGTAAGATACTAACCTGTTTTTCACATGTGTCTATAACAGTATTCTTACATTTCCTGTCATAAGAAGCCTCTAAAATTCAAATTCCTAGGCTCAACATAAAGATTCAGTATGTATCACAAGATATTACCTACACAACTTTTCATGTGTAGTTCTCACACCAATATAGTATCAGCAACACCTTGTTGGCTCACTAGAACACGAGCATACCCATATTCACTAACTCAGAAATTGGGGAGGGAGCCCAGGAAACTTTTTAATAAACTTGAAGGTAACTTTCCTTGATACTCTAGTAGGAATTGGACTTGAATTGTTCTTTACTAATTTGAAAAAAACTATTTTTCAAAAAAAATTAAAAATGTAAAAGAGAATAGAATTCTGTATGAGTGAAAACAAGCAGTGTAATTTAAGCCACATGTTACATGATTCATGTCTTGCCTTTTAATACAGTTTGCATTTTCCCCCATAAGATTTTGTGCATTCATAATTAAATTTTTTATACTATTTTCATGATTTACTACTAGTATACAGCTAGGATTAGAAATAGTTCACAAGCCAAATTCAAGCTTTTTGCCTGTTTATTAAAATCTTACATAACATAATATCTGAGGCTGCTTTTATATTTATTTATTTTGTGCAAGGCCTGTGGCTTGAACTCAGAGCCTGAACACTGTCCTAAATTTTTTTTGCTCAAAGCTTTACTTGAGACACAGTTCTACTCTGAGATTTTTGGTGATTACTTGTAGGTAAGTGTCTCACAGACTACAATTGCGCAAGCTGGTTTCAAATCACAATCCTCAGATTTCAATCCCCTAGGATTAAAGGTGTGAGCCACTGGCACCTAGCTATTCTTTGTTTTCATTTTTAGTTTTTATGTCTTTTTCATCCATAAGTGCAAATAGTTAAATCACTTTTTGTAAACTGGTACACTAACATTTGGCAATATAAGTCACACTGTTGTATAGTATTTGTCACATTTTATACTGGAGAATTAACTTTTCATGCTTCAGTATTTAGGATCCTTATTTATACTGGCAGACTCAGAGAAGACCTTTTTTGGAGGGGTGGGGGGATGGGGGGATTGGTCATGGGGCTTGAACTCTAGGCCTAGGTGCTGTCCCTTAGCTCTTCAGTTCAAGGCTACTGCTCTACCATACTTGAGCCACAGTACCACTTCCGGTTTTCTGAGTGGTTTATTGGAGATAAGAGTCTCACTGAGGACTTTCCTGCCTGGGCTGGCTTTAAACTATGATCCCCAGATCTCAGCCTTCTGAGTAGCTAGGACTACAGGCGTGAGCCATCAGCGCCTATAATTATCTATAATTGTACACCAGCAATTATAGATAGAAAAGATCTCCAATCTTTAGAACGCATGGTAGTTTCATATTAATCCAATCAACTTTATAATTTCAAGAATTATTTAAAGACACAGGAAGTATACAGCAACCTAAACATATATAAGGTAAAAAATCCCAGTGTTTCTGGTGTAAAGATAAAAAGTGAGCATTCACAAAAAAATCTATTTACAATTTCCAAATTTCCATGGTTCAGCCCATATGCTTTTAGCAATACTCAGTTCTGCCTTCCTATCATGTCCAGCTAAGTAAGATAAAATAAAAAAAATCACACCCATATAATTATCATATTGAGGTGTTTTCTAACAACAAATTAAAACTACCAAAAAAAACTTTACATAAAATATAAAAGATAGTCACTTACTGAAGATACATTTCAGTTTTGAAGGAAATTAAGTAAAAAAATCAAGGTTTTAATTTGCTGTTATCTACTAAATTATTTAATCAAAATTAATTATTTGAAGGATTTCATAGATTCATAATTCTTCCTCACATAAATTCTAAAGCTCTGAAAATTTAAAGTTGTTTTCACAATTCATTTAGTTGCATCCTAGTCTTAACTGACATGAAGTTATTTGTCAATCTCACTTGTCATGAATATTAATTGAAGGAAAGTTAACATGCTTGACTCTAATATTGGTTTAAGGTTCCAAAGCAGATAGGTACATTTACCTTATTACTTCTCATGCTCCTGAAAAGTACAAATACTGATATACAACTGTTGGATTTGTTTTAGACAATGCAGTATGGATCTGGTAATTTAACAAAGAGATTTACTTTCTCTCACATTAATGAACAAAAGCAACTTGTAACATTCAAGACACTAACTCCACTTGTGCTTTTATATTCTAAAACATTTATTCAAATAAGTAAAAACATTACCTTTATTTTCAGATTTCATTTTCACAAGCATTTTGTTAGGATACTTTTTTAAATGCCAGTAAAAGTAAATAAAGTGCTCAGTGATTTCATTGAATAGATTAATTCAACTTTCACATTTGTAACATTTATACAGTTCTTAATACTAATAGATTTGAATAAAAAAATTTTAAAAAAAAACCTGGATAGGTACTGGTGGCTTATATCTGTAACCCTAGCTACTCAGGAGGCTGAAATCTGAGGATCTTGTTTGAAGCCAGCCCAGACAAGAAAATCCAAGAGACTCTTATCTCCAACTAACCAGTACCAAGCAGAAAGTAGAGGTGTGGCTCAAGTGGAAGAGTGCTAGCCTTGAGCTAAAAATCTTGGGGAGACAGTGCCCAGGCCCTTAATTCAAGCCCCAGGACCAGCACAAAACAAGTTTAAAAAATTGTAACATACTAATGTAAGTGATAACTTACATTGGATAACTTCTCCAAGAATAAACTGCACAATATCCAGAATGCATTGTTACCAACATGCACTAGGTTTTCTATCATTCTGAATTTCATTATCTGCAATTAAAGGCTTCAAAATCATGCATCAAGCCATAAGAAGCAGAGCACTTACTTAGGAGTAGAAGGACCCCTTGGCCACGTTCCATCTTCATTTTTTTGTTCTATCACTAACACCTGCAAATATGACACAATAAAGGGTGTTTTCCCTTAACTATGAAGTTGTAAAATAGCTTTAGAAGATAAGCTGAATACACTAATAAACAAAAAGATTAAAGGATACAATAGACAAAATAAAGAAGTTTTTGCATTTTAGTTCCAAAGCTGTGCAAGGGAAACAAGAAGACTTCAAATAAGAGTTAGCAATAGTGAAAAGGAAAGAAGATAGGTATGTGGTGCATGTACCTATAATCCTATCAATCTGGAGACTGAGTAGGAGTATAAATTCAAGGCCAGTGTGGGTCACCTTAGTAAGACCCCCATCTCAAAAACTGCATTTTAAAAGGAAAAAAGATAAAACTAATACATTCTGTAATTTTAAAAAGTTTAAACTAAGTAAACAGAATAAAAATTCCTAGAGCTTAAAGAATACACTTTCTACCAGGTGTCAGTGGCTCATGCCTGTAGTAAATACTAGTTACTCAGGAGGCTAAGATCTAAGGATCAGGGTTGGAGGCAAGTCTGGAAGCTGGAAGTGAAGCTGTGGCTTAAGTGGTAGAGCACTAGCCTTGAGAAAAAAGTTCAGAGACAGTGTCCAGGCTCTTGAGTTCAAGCCCTAGAACCAGCATACACATACACACACACACACACTCTCTCTCTCTCTCTCTCTATATATATATGCTTTACATGTGTACTGGCAGCTTAATGTCAAAGACTGTACAAATTAACAGATGCCAACCAGACATACTTAGTTATCAGTTATCATTTTGCAAATGTAACTGAGTAACACTGGCACAGCTAATTCCACATTTAAAATTTACACAATGTAGGTGGGGCTTTGAAATTAGTACTCATTTACCTTGTCACCATGTAAACTATACAATCTTATATGTAATTGGTAAGAGTCACATTTATGAGAATTAGGCTGTTCTTTGGTACAACATATTTGAGATAGACAAAAAAAAAAATTCCTCTAGGGACTGGAGGTATAGCTTAAATGGTACTGCTCCTGCCTAGCAAGCAAGAGGCAATGCTACTGCTCCTGCCTAGCAAGCAAGAGGCAATGCTACTGCTCCTGCCTAGCAAGCAAGTGGCAATAAGGCACTAGAGAAGAGGGAAGGGGAGAGGGAGAGGGAAAGAGAGAAGGTAGGGGTAGAGAGAGAGGGGGAAGGGAAGAGACAGAGAGGGAAGAGGGGGAGAAGGGGAGGGAGAGGAAGAGATTGCCTTTAGTAGAGAAGGGAAACAATGTAAGAACAGATTGCATTTGTGGATGAAAATAGCAAAATAAAACTCACTGGAAGCTAGTGAATAATAGGGTAGGATAGGGAAACTGAGAGTAAGCAAGGGGTCACTCTGATGAACCATTAATGCACTCTTTACAACAAGTGATAGACAGGAAGGTAAAACATATCCTGACTAGGGTAGGGATACTAGTGAGAGGCAGAGGGAGACTGGTAAAAGCAAAGGAAGAGTGAATATGGCCAAAATGCTTCTGTACATATGTGAAAATGGAACAGTGAAGATTGTTGAGATTGGCTTGGGAAGTAGGTAGAAGGGATAAGGGAGATAGTAGGTAAAAGGGATGACAGAGGAAGTGAGGTCTAATCAAGGTACACTGTATGCATTGATGCTAATTAAAAATATGAAAAAGTTAGCCAGGCGCTGGTGGCTCACAGCTGTAGTCCTAACTACTCAGTAGGCTGAGATCTGAGGATCACGGTTCAAAGCCAGCCCAGGCAGGAAAGTCCATGAGACTCTTATCTCCAATTAACCACTAGAAAACCGGAAGTGGCACTGTGGCTCAATGGTAGAGCACAAATCTTGAGCTGAACAGCTGAGGGACAGCACCCAGGTCCAGAGTTCAAGCCTCACGACCACCCCCCCCCCCAAAAAAAAATTGCTTATAGTAAGTGAAAAGTATAGACCAAAGCAAAGCCATCCTTAAAGCTTCCTTATATCTGTAGTTCTAAAATGATTAAGTCAGTAAAGGAAATTAGTGATATCAATATCTAGTTTTCCATCAGAAAAATATATAAACAATGCAACCTGAAAAAACTACATTGCGATACAAATCCACATAGATTCTATATGTTCAGTTTCATTAACTCTTTCTTTTACACTTGTAATTGTGTGTAATCTGTTCTACCTTTTCTAGGCACTAGGCTTTTGTGAACTGTGTATCCAGGCCATATATAATTGGTATTTCAATTCTAGCTACATAAAATGTGGGCTTGTTTCAGAATACATGAATGAATAATGAAATATCGACCCAAAAAGTTCACGGAAGCTTGTTGAAAATTGTGGAAATTAAAAATGTTAAAATTTGCTTTAAAAAAAACCAAAAATGTAGCATTTCATACAACAGAAAACTTATATGATGTGGTGCCTTCTCATTTACCAGATATCATTAGCCACTGTCTCAATTTTTAGTTACCATTCCAAGGCATCTTTAAGATTAAAAAAATAGAATTTACTTAGTAACATAACTTCTGAAGGTTTTTTTTTTCTGCAACATGTAGGTACAGTAATATATAAATTCACTACTGATACACATAACATGATGGTCATTTTAGGGCATTTTATCAACTGTAAGATAAGAGATTTTAGAAACAGAAATTTTCATTCAGTCATTTCATGTAGTTTGGCCACACCACCTTAATTTCTAATAACATCTGTCCTTAAAATTCCTATTTTGTTTTTAAGTGTATTGTTTTTAACAAGAATGATAAAATTCACTCCTTTATTCAAACATTTCATTTTCAGAATAAAAATTTACATTTAAAACTTCAATTTAGGATTGATACTTTTTAGTAATTTATCATGACCTTACTTTCTAATGAAGATACCATTAATTTCATTATGAGAAAAAAAAGCTACAGTAATTTATTATAGTCAAAAAATAACTATTCTAGCCAGAAGCCTGTGTGTGTCTGTGTGTGTAATCTCAGCTACTCAGGAGTATGAATTCTGCGGATTATGGTTCAGAACCAGCATGGGGCAGAAACAGTCTGCGAGACTCTTATCTCCAATTAACCACCAGAATACCAGAAGTAGAAAGGTGGCTAAAGTGGTAAAGCACCAGCCTTGAGCAGCAAAAAAGATAAAGGATAGCACACAGGCCCTGTTCAAGCCCCAGTACTGACACCAAAAAATAATATAAGAACTACTCTATAATCTGGAAATTTGAAAGCATATTCCTGGAAACATTCCTATTCTAAAAGATAAATGTCTTTTAGAATATTTCTAATATAAACAACAGATATTAAATTGTGAACCATTTCAGAGGAGCACTCAAAACATTTAAAGAAATATCTAGGTAGCTTTCTTTTTTCTTTTGGTGCCAGTCCAGTGCTTGTACACAGGGTCTTGAGCTGTCACTTGACTATCTTGCTCACAGCTGGTGTTCCACCACTTCAGCATTTGCTGTTTACTTTTAGATGGAGTCTTGAAGACTTTTCTTCCTGGGCTGGAAACCTGATCCTCTAGATCTCAGCCTTCTGAATAGCTAGGATTACAGGGATAAACCATTGTAGCTAGGGTGTAACTTTCCTTTAAATTGCAATGTACAGTATATGGGACTTGGTAAGATTTCACCTAAGTATATAATAGTTAAAATAATGTTCAAACATCAGTGTTTTTCTTTTCTTTTTTTTTTTTTTTTTGTCGGTCGTGGGGCCTGAACTCGGCCTGGGCACTGTCCCTCAGTTCTTTAGCTAAAGGCTAGTGGTTCTACCACTTGCACCACAGCACCACTTCTGGCTTTTTCTGCTTATGTGATGCTGAGGAATAGAACCCAGGGCCTCATGCAAGCGAGGGCAAGCATTCTACCACTAAGCCAACTTGCCAGCCCCATCAGTGTTTCTTAATAGCCTAATATATTATCCAACTTATAGTAGGCATTTACTATGAGTTTTTCTCAGTTTTTTTACATCTTAGTATTACATTATTAGCGTTGAGCAAATTTTTAAAATAAACTAGACTAAAATACATCAATATACTGAATCATCAGTTGCTGTGCTAGGTACTAAAAATTAAAAAAATAAAATATAACAAACCCAAACTCTATCTAAATAAAAAAACTCATTATCTAAGTATAACATACAAAAGATAAATTCATAAATAATTATGGAAATTAAGGGAGAAATTATTCTCTAAAAAAAAAAATCAATGGATACTGAGAAATGTGAATGCTGAAAAGATGATGTGATATTTGGATTGGAATCTGAAGAATGATCAGATCTGTTATGCCTAATGATATGATAAGATGGGATGAACAGTTTGAATATCTGAGTGGATAAAAGGAATTTTTTTGCTAGATGATTGCAGAAGGAAGAAGGTTATACCAGGCAGATAGATGAACAATGCGAAAGTATGGAATAGGCTGGTGTTCAGAAAACTATATACTATTCAGTTTGGTAGTGCTAAAGAGTAAACCATAACACAAGGGTAATTTACAGATGCTGGCAGATAGAGGCTAAACATGACTATCATTGGTTACTGAGGAGCTAGGAAAGGGTTATTATAAAAGGAGAATACTCAGGTTTTAATTTTAGAAGAAATATTATGGTACAAATAAGACTGAATAGGCATCTAATAAATTGGGAGGTAGCAGGATTTGTTAAGAGGATACAAAGACAAGGGCTGGGAACACAATAGATTACCTCATGGGACAACTAGAAGGCAGAATCAGTCTGTCATTGTAACTAAACAGCTCTTTCAGTATGTTGAAATTTTTTTTTTTGATTCTAACATAATGATTAAATTATGGGCTAATACCTGCTAATAGGAGCTGGCAAACCATTGTCTACTTGTGGTGCTTCCCTGCTAAGAATGCTTTGATTATAACACAGTCATACCACTAATATGTATCTGCTCTATGGCTGCTTCCACACTAGTTCAATGCAAGTTATAGCTGCAAGAGTGACTTTATGGCTTCTAGACAAAAATTTTTTCTATTTGATCCTTCTTAGGAATTCTAGTAAGTTATCTTAAAAAATTACTATGTTTTCCTTAAACTAGTTTCTTCTTAATCTACTTAAGTAGATTATTACTAAGCTCAAGCACAGAATCAGAAGTTACAGTATTGACCAGCAGGAAAAACGAAGAGATGAGTTAGAGAGAGGAAGCAATTACAACAGAACTTATTTTATATTGCAGAGAGCTCATTAAAGTTTGTGAATTCAACAAGCTTCAAGTATACTATGCGAAAAATAAACATTATTGCTAAACAATACCTGTCCTTGGTATAGGCCAGCATCTTGAATGGTGCTGTCTGGTTTATTCAGTGGTTCAAATGTATTACTCATGTATTTGTTCCACAATCTAGTCTCCTTTTCATCTGGAATATTGAAGATTTTTCTTATTTCCTTTTCAATTGTATCTGAGATTGAGGGAGGAAAGGTATGTAAATAAAAATTTAAAATATCACGAAGTATGTATTGAGTAAAAATCCTAAATTTAAACTAGAAATATCAAGAATAGATTAAGAAATAACCTAAGACTCTGTATAAAACTCTGTATAAAAGTTTTAAGCCAGGTATGTTTTTAGACAGAATGACAACTTTGGAAGATGAAATAAGTAATTTAAGGAAATAAGACCTCAAAAGTTAAGTGTTTAATTACAACACTAATATTGGTTATACAGGATAGACTTTCATTTTTGACACGTAAGATAATATATTGAAGATATGTAGGATTTTGAAATTATAGTATGAGAATATGGATAGAAAACTTTATTTAGGACATTACCAGTTTAAAAATTTGTATTAGACTATATGTGTGTGTATATATATCTATATATATAAAATTTACAGCATGAATAGTAAGTAAACTGCAAATAAAAGTTTAGTATGAATAGTTAAGTACACTGTATGAATACAGTGAAAAGGAAAATGACTTATCTGATGGGCTGCTTGTATAAAATTTATTATATTCAAAATACAGCTACATATTAATATAAGACTGTCTATATATTTGAGAATACAGATGTAATTGTTTCAGTAGTTATTGCCAAATGAATATTAAGATGTATTAGATAATGCTATAATATCTAATTCTAGTCAACTTTTCTTACAGATACAATTAAACTAATTAAATATTTTATGACAAGTGAAGAAATATAAAACACTTTAGCGTCGACTAATTGCAGAAAAATATTAATAAGATACTAAATAATATGTTCTCTGAAGAAATTTTAAAAGGTATACTCACTCTCTATGAATCTAGCCCAATGTTTATATTCTACTTAGCAGAAGTTCTGTAAGTCTTGTAATCAATTAATTTTAAATTGCACATTAAATGAATATTAAATCTCAATGTATATCAAAACAAACTGAATTAACCAGAGTATGTAAATAATTACATAAAATAGCATTAGTTTCTATCTTGGCAAGGTTGTATTTTCTCATTTTATCAAAGAAAAAAAGAAGATTAATCAGCAGTATACTGTGATGTTTCCAAAGTGGACATACTCATGTAAATAGCATTCATAGCAAGAAACAGATCTACCTTAACGAGATGGCAGAGGGAAGTGGCGCTGTAGCTCAATTGGTAGAGTGCTTGCCTTGAGCTGAAGAGCTGAGGGACAGCACTCCAGCCCAGAGTTCAAGCCCCACAACCAACAAAAAAAAAAAAAAGGGGCAGAGCAGGAAGGTAGGACTATCTGTAAAAGTGACTATAATTTTCCCAGTTGCAGAAATGTGTTTTGGTCAAGGCAGAGATACAGAAAAAATAGACAGTATAAACTATCTACCAAGAGATAATCTGTTAACATTTTGATATTTCTTCTAGACATTTTTTCTAGTAACAAAAAATATTTATGTATATACTAAAAGCAAACATATATGGAAATTTTCTCTTCATCATTTTCTGGGGGGTTGAGTAGTACTGCCACACTAGGTAAGCACTCTGCAGGTTGAGCTACATCTCCAGCCCATTTTGCTATGCGATTTATTTTACTGAGCTAGTGTCTTGGTTTTTGTACCACCTCTTTCACTGAGATGAAGTCTCAAGGGTATTCATAAATTGGAGAATTTTTTTTCCAAGTTAAAATTCTACAGGTCATGTCTCATTTTTTTTTTGTAAGTCCCGGGGCTTGAACTCTGCGCCTCAGCTCTTCAGCTCCATGCTAGTGCTCTACCACTTGAGCCACTTCCAGCCTTTTCTGTTTATGTGGTGCTAAGGAATTGAATCCCGGGCCTTATGCATGGGAGGCAAGCACTCTACCACTGAGCCACCTTCCTAGCCCCATGTCTCATTTTCTACTAACCACTGGTATTTTCCAATAAGATCAATGTTATTATCATTATTCTTGTTTTATAAAAATCTCATTTGAAAATAGTACTTTTAGTTTCTTGAACAATGTTTTATAAAAATACTGTAATATTTATCCAAAATAATTTATTTTAAACATATATTCTTTATTTTAAATTAAAATAGCTTTAATAAATATGTATTTAAAAATAAAAATAAGATCTGATACTTAAGACTATAAGACTTTGATTTTTAGAAAACAATTTTGTAAGTTACTCATTAACAACAAAAAAAACTAATACTGCAATCATAATGCTGTATCTAATGCCTTAGCTATTTTAATAGTATTTGATCCAAAAGGAAATAATCACCTGGTATTTTACACAATATCTGACAGTTTTATTTAAGCCAGTTTTTATTTAATGCCACAGTTTAATCTATGCTGTTAGTATACGACATACATTTTTCAAATGCTAAATTAAAACAGTATTTGCTTTCTAACATAAAATGGCACAAATGTTAAATTCATTTTACTAAATGCAAAACAGTGATAAACAAGTAATTAATCTCTAAGCTAATACATGGCATCGAAGTTAAGAATCTATACTGTTTATTAATAAACCTTTAGAATGGTTATCCTCCTAGCGGGGTAGTATTTATCAAGGTGAACTATAAAATGGTTCAAAAACTGGATCTTGCATTACCTATGGTGTCAGCTTTGCTAAATCTTCGAGTTACAACATTGTTCATATTTCCATTTTCACACAGCTTCAATTCTGTGAGGTATACTTCTACTTTGCAATGTTTCACAAACATACCCTGTTCAACCACCTAAAAATGAAAGAAATTAGTGTCAGCTATAACAATATTTTTGATTCTTAGCATATTTCCTTAAAGAAGTTCTAGGGAAAAAAATCAGATTTAAAACATTAAATGTCAATCTGGAAAGGCATTCTATTGATCTATAAAGATACTGTGAAACAATACAAATAATAAATACATTTTATAACTATGAAGTCACTCAAATAGTTTTTTTCTGTATACAATACATAATTACTAAGTACAATTAAAGATACATTCGTCCAATTCTTAGTTGTGATCCCAAATTTTAAAAAAAAAACCTTTAAAAAGTTTTATATAATTTTACAATATTAAGATAACTTTGTGTTAAAAATATTTTATGACAACTTCAAATTACTGCTGCCAAAATATTTGCCTATGTCCCTGAAGCGAATAGGTTAGTTTCATTTTAAATGACTTTGCTTGACCTTTAGAGGCATACTTGGCAATTCTATGTAACAAATGACAGAAAAAGCTGTTAAAACATGCAAGCAAAAAAGTATAAGAAGAAAACATTTATATATTAGGGTCACCTTTTAAATGCATATATTTCCTTTTGATCTTCTAAAGGTTAACTGTAGGATTTCAGTCATGAATACTGTTTCTGAAAATAGCAACTGGTCTGATATATGATACCCCAGACAAATATGGTGAAAGGGAAGCTCCAGACAGCTCAGATGTACTCACAGGTTTACAACAATTTAATATGGCACTTATAAGCTGGTCTTTCACTTGCAGGAAAAATTATTTCAGCATTTTAAAATACAGTTTATCTGTTATCTACTGAATAAGCCAACATGAATTTTTATACGCTGTCAATATATATTCTTAATTATGTTTTAGCAAGTTTCTAAAAAAGGTAGTAGTCTGTATTCTCTCCTGTTTAATAAAATTAACTTACTTTGTAAGACTAATAAATAATGACTCCAACAAAATTGTTTTTAGATCTCTTATGCTGAGTTTTGCTCAGGTTAAGACAGAAATTTCAACTTTGGATCTCAATAATTAATATCCTAAAATAACATTACATTAAGGTACTGAGTAATTATTGGTAGGTTGCTAAAACTGAGATAGACTGCAGGTCTCATTTATATGGGGAAAAGGCAAATAATAACCAAGAAAAGGAACAGAATAAAATAAGAAAACCTCTCACTGTGACTTATGAAGCTACATATTGTCTAAATAAGTAGTCTTTTAAAATGAAATTCAACTTTCCAAATATTAATATTTTCCTGGAAAAAACTGGAAATTGAAATCTCAAAATTCAGTATGGCCTCTATACAAACAAGTTCACTTAAAAAATCCACATTAGGACTCAAAAAAATTTTTCCTTTTCTCTTACCATATTTTACATTGTTGTTAAAAACCTCATCAACACTTAAAATACTATTACTATATCTTCCTACTTCCAAAAGCAACATATTAATAACTGTCCCTTTCTTTGAGTTTATTCTCAAGCTATTTCTATTTAAAAGATCTTACTAAATGTGGAAAACTAAAGTCATGGCAAAAAAAAATGAGTATATTCATGAATCTGTTGTGGTCATGTGTACTTATTATTTGTTTACATACAGTTCTTCTCCTTCAGTAAAAATATTTTCACTGAAAATAACCATTGGAGATGTTTTGAAGACTATGTAGCAGAAAAAAAAACATAAAAAATAAAGTACAAAGTTCTATGTGCCTTTCAGAAAATGTACATTTCAGAAAATATCGGAAGCAAATACTCAAAAATGATATTTCAGAATTACAGGTAAAAAGTATAACATTATATAGCTATAAAAAGAAGAGTGCGTAAGATGAAATTTGCCTTCTTAAGTGTAAGATCTATGGATATGTAAAAATACTTTAATTCAATCACAATGAAAGCAATGTCTACAACAATCTATGAAGAAAATATAAGTTTATGCACAATTTAAAAATATCTTTCTTTACTCTTTCTTGTGATTAGAAGAAATTTTGTACAAAGTCAATTACATATACATGATAAACCTAATTCAGTCTACTCTTTGTATGTGCATGTGTAAGCTTTATAGAAACTTTACTTCATTCCAAGTATTTCCCTACTCCAAAAATGAAGAGAAACAAATATAATTCCTAAAGAAACTTAATACTAGGCCTATGGGACATATACATTATTTTGAAGAAAGTAGCTATGTTCATTTCTTTAAACACTTTATAAGTGCAGATATGTTAGAGTTCCTGGAGTTAGGGTAAATGCAAATAATGACAAAAGCAAGGAGCTGGGCACTTGCTGGAGTGCTCAAGCTGGGCTTTCAGTATTTTTGTTTTACTTATTTTTCAGGTAGTTTGTAGCATTTTTTACCTGGGCTAACTATGGAATAGCATTTTTCACTTAGGCTAGCCTGTTATCAATAGTACAGATGTGTATGACTGCTGTTGGACTATTTGTTGATGAAGGTATCACTAACTCTTTGCTTCAGCTAGTCCTGAACCTTAATCTTCTTGGTTTATACCTCCAAAGCAGCTGAGATTATGGGTATGAGCACCACACCCAGCCTTAAAGTGAATTTTACCTGCATGGGTCATGTATTACCTAGTAAAAACACAAATTTAAAGAACTGCTCACTTAATCTATTTTTTTTTTTTTTGGAGAAAGATAATAAGGATTCCAAGCAGCTTGATGCATATAAAGTTTGAAAACTATTTGATAAGTTGGGTAAATTCCATTTACGTGATTAGAAAAAATGGTACAGTCTCCTAAAAGACTTCTCATTTCGTTTCCCCATTAATTTGCTTACCAGACAAGAAATGTTAGTAAGATCTCTTGCATTGGTCAATTCTCCAAGAATGATATAGAACTAAATTATATTTGTATCAACTATTAACTATTTATGGTAAGCTGGCTGATTTACTTCAAAATTTGACATTGCAAACATGGAAAATGAGCTACATCCTGACTTTCATAACTTACTCTTCAGTCACAACGATTAGGAAACTATCATTTTTAGTGTTTCTAGATTATTTTTTAAATTTTTTATTGTGAAAATACCGTACAGAGGGGTTATAATTACATGGGCAAGGTAATAAGTACATTTCTTATCAAGCATTGTTTCCCCTTCCCATCTCCCGCCCCCCCCCCGCCCCCCCCCCACCCATTTCTAGATTATATAAAACTTCATTCGTGGGTGTAAAGTGGGATTTTTAACTCAGAGATTTGCCCTTGCTAGACAGATACTCTTAGCATTTGAGCATATCTCTACTCCTTAAAAACTTAAAAAAGAAATGAAAAGTCTTCATTCTTTCTCCAGTTAAAAAAAAACTGGTTGTGGACTGGGAAGGTGGCTCAGTGGTAGAGTACTTACCTTGCATGCATGGGTTCAATTCCTCAGCACTACATAAGCAGAAAAATCCCAAAGTGGCACTGTGGCTCAAGTGGTAGAGTGCTAGCCTTGAGCTGAAGAGCTGAGGGATAGCATAGCGCACAGGCCCAAAGTTTAGCCCCCACAACCGACAAAAAAAAAAAAAAAAAATTGATTGCAAAGAGTTTAATTTTTAGCTTGTTTTCTAATAATTTTAAATAAAAAGCAGTGCAGCCTGGAAACAGCATAATGCCCTTCAGAAGTTGTATGGCAGACTGTAAACCCTCTATCTGTGCTATTATGATACAGTCTATAGCAGTATTTTGCTGGCCTTTCTCCCAAAGTAAGTAGGCTTCACAATTCATTTAATTAACAATAGAATATGAACTACAAGAAAAATAGATTCATATTCAGTTATTCTCAGATATACCTTTCTTGCTATTGGCTCCTGACCTTCCATCAATGTATACCAGCTGACAAGTTTATTCCAGCCCTCGGTTGGCAATAGTATGTAATCCAATTCATCAATAAGATGCTCTTTAAGTGACTGGGCATCACCATCTGCAAGGAAAAAACAAACTCAATCCATAAAATGAAATAGTAGCACTTATCCTGCCCATGTAATTGTAACCCCTCTGTACAGTATGTTCTCAAATAAAATAAAATAAAATTTAAAAAAAAAAAAAAAATGAAATAGTAGCACATTATCTCTAAATACGTTGGTTATAGAACACTATAAATTATTTAAGTTCATGAAGATGCCTTAGAAGTATTGAAAACAATCAGTTCTAAGGAAAAAGCTCTAGCAAAAATCAAATCTAAATATTTCAAAATAAACTTGTTTGAAAAGTATACAATTAGTCTTTTTTTTTAAATGTAACTTTTGGGGATGGGAAGGTGGCTTAGTGGTAGAGTGCTTGCCTGCATGCATGAGGCCCTGGGTTCGATTCCTCAGCACCACATAAGCAAGAAGAAAAAAGCCAGAAGTGGCGCTGTGGCTCAAGTGGTAGAGCACTAGCCTTGAGCTGAAGAGCTGAGGGACAGCACCCAGGCCCAGAGTTCAGGACCCACGACCAGACCCAAAAAAAAAATAAATAAAATAAAATAAATAAAAAAATAAAATAATAAATTTTAAAAAAAGTTTAGTACAGGACATATCAGAGATCTAGAAGTAATTTCCTGAGTAGAAGTAATTTCCTGACGTGAGTAATAGCTACATCACAGTCTTAATCTGAACTCACTTATTAATTAATCATTTGAATTTCTAAAGTATGGAAACAAATAGCTCATTAAGTTATGTGTAACCTAAAGAATATCTTTTTGTTCTGAGTTTGTTGTTGGTTTGATTCTAGGCTTTGTTTTTTGAAAGACAGGTTATCACAATGTGGCCTAGGCTGTCTTTGAACTTGAAATCCTCTAGCCTTCAACCTTCTGAGTATTGGGATTATAGAGGTACACCACCAAGATGAGCTCTTCTAAGTCTTAGAGTTTGAGCTTAGAACTTTTTACACCTTGCTAAATAGGTGCTCTTAAGCCAAAGCCTCCTTTTGAGATAGGGTCTTACTGTTGACCCTGATCTGATGCTGGCCTCAGATTTTGATTCTCCTATTTATAGTCTCCTGTCAGGCACATGCCATCATGTCTGGCTTGTTTTGTTAGGATGGGGTCTTACTAACTTTTTGATGAGGGCCTCAAACTTCTCGAGCAGATGGGATAACAGGCCCGAGTTAACCTAATTAATAGACACAGGAAGCAAAACTGTTCTTTGCAGCATTTCAATAGTTTTAATATACTATTTTTAATAAGATATAACTATAATCAAAGAGAAAAAAAACTGAAGAGATTAACAGACTGATATGCATTCTAGAATCAGTATGTGGTCACAATGTTTCTAAACTCTGAGGAAGCTATTTTTATATAGAAGGAAATGGGAAAAGTCTGAATTCATTACTAATTTCAATAACAGTATAAACTAATAACTTTTAAGTGCAATCTTGTGTGCATGGCGCACACGTGTGTGTGCACGTGATGGTCCTGGAGCTCTTAGGGCCTGGGCACTGTTTCTGAGCTTTTGTGTTCAAAGCTAGCACTTCACCATATGAACTACATACAGGCTCCACTTCTGACTTTTTGATCATTCACTGGTGATAAGAGTCTTCTGGAGGGCGGAGGGAGGCTGGGAGGGATGGGAAGGGGAAACAAAGGAGGAGGCTACAATGCTTGATAAGAAATGTATTCATTATCTTGCCCATGTAATTGTAACCCCTCTGTACAGTATTTTCACAATAAAAAATAAATAAAAAAATTAAAAAAAAAAAGTCTTACGGACTTTCCTGTGCTGGCTGGCTTTGAACTGCAATCCTCAGATTTCAGCCTCCTGAGTAGATAGGATTATAGGTATGAACCACCAGCACTTAGCTAAGCTCAATCTTTTAAATATTAGTTTTTAACTTTTAAATAGTTGATACAAACAATTTGAAATAATTTTCAGAAATCATGAAGATAAAAGAAAATTACATAAGTAATCCTTCACTAAGTAGCCCATACTATGAGAGATATCCTATAGCAGTTAACTATATTGTAACAGTTTATTTTCAAAAGAATTCTAATCAAATGTTATTATATGCCTGTAATTCTAGCTACTCATGAGGCTGAGACCTGAGGATGGTAGTTCAAAGCTAGCCCAGGCAGAAAATTCCCTGAGACTCTTATCCATTAATGATAAAATGCTGAACTAGAGGTATAGCTCAAGTGGTAGAGCAGTAGCTATGAGGAAAAGTTGACTGAAAGCACAAGGTCTTAACTTCAAGCCCTGATACTAGCATAAACATAAACACATACACACACACACACACACACACACACACACACACACACACACACACACACACACACACACACACACACACACACACACACACACACACACACACACACAAATCCTAAACTATAAAGAATTTCCATTGTAGATTAGAATGTATTGGGGTAGTGAATAATTTGCCCAAGGTGGTAATAGAAAATTATTGGAACTATGAAATGCTTTATTTTAGAAAACCACGTTATCTCAGTTAATTTTCCAAGTGATACTACGAAGTAGGTCTCTTCAGTCTCTCCATTTAAACTACAAAGAAAATAGATATGTTGAAACCTGCCCAAGATCACATGTACAGAGACTTGCAGAGTTTGAATTCCACATGACTTTTTTAAAAACTCATTTGCTCTGTAACACAGTATTAAAAAGAACAAAAACAACCCTTAGAAAGTTTAAAAATAAAGGCTTACATGTTAATTTCTATATTAGTTGAGTTTAGATGGTATAAAATGATCAATTCATTTTTTAGAACACACTCAAGACACAGAATTGGCATTATTTCTGTATGTATAGTATATAATAAATTATACATATTTAAGTTATACAACTTGATTAAGTTTTGACATACCAAGTATAAACTCCTCATTAACAAAATGAGGATATCCACCACACCCAGAAGTAAAACCAACAGTCAATGTTTGCAGCTCTAGGATAATTTGTACTTTTTAGAATTTGACATGAAAATAGTACCGGTACCATACTATTATAGACAAATTTCATTTTCTAGAATTACCTATCTTTAGATGATGAACTGGCTTTTACTTATATAACTATATTATCATATATTTATATTCATTCAGGTGTTGATGGGCATTTGGGATGCTAATAATTTTTCTAATATTAAAAAAAACCTGTATAAGTCATGTACAACTTTTCATATGGATAGATGCTTTAATTTCTTTTGAGTATCTCCATATAGAATGATTGGGTACCATGATGTTTCTTGAATTCCACTTCTTCAGCATCTTTGACAACATATGGTGGGCATGTCTTTTAAGTCAATCATTTCAATAACAATGGTTTGCAAACATACTGTGATTTTGTTCATTTGCTCTGTGGGGCTAAGCAGGAACTCTACTGCTGAGCTCTTCCTCAGTACCTCTCATATAGTTCTGAGCTTTAATACTTGTGAGACTGTCTTTACATGTGCTTTTTTTTTGGTCATAGGGCTTGAGCTCTGGCCCTGGGCACCATTCCTCAGCTCTTCAGCTCAAGGTTAGCACTCTACCACTTGAGCCACAGCAGCACTTCCAGCTTTTTCTGTTTATGTGGTACTGAGGAATCAAACCCAGGACCTCATGCATGCAAAGCAAGCACTCTACCACTAAACCATCTTCCTAGCCCCTATATGCTTTTAAATAAGTATTCTCTTTTCTGATAGTGTTTGATCAAACTTTTGCCTACATTTTTCACTAGACTTTTTTTTCTTCAAAGTAGGTTTTATTGTAGTATAGTAACAGAACATACAATATATAATTTGAAATCTTTTAACTTTATTAAGTTTTCCAATCTGGCTACTGGGAATATTAATTATTGCCATTCTTACATGAATCTCACAAAAACTATATCCAGGGCCTTGCATATATTAGGCAAGCATTCTGTCATTTGAGCGTCCATCCATCAAGATTTTGTAGGCAGTTCTTTCCCAGCTCTTAGGCAGCATCCTCACATGTATTTGCTGATCAGTTAAAGATTCAAGAGAAACTGGGTCAAGCTACTTCAAAGGTACCAACTGGAGGATTGCAGCTCAAAGCCAGTCACAGCATAAAAGTTCATGAGGTTGCATCTCAAGCAATGGGTGGGTATGATGGAGCTCTACTGTTACTCCAGCTATAAGGAAAGCACAGTGGCTGGGTATAGTGGCACATGTTTGTCACTGCCAGTGAAAAAGGGTAGCACAAGAAGGAAGACCACAGCTCAGGCTGGGTTTAGGAATAAAGTAAAGCTTTCTATCAAAAATATCCAATACAAGGAGATACTGAATGTATATATAGCTCAAGCAGTAGAGCACTTGCCTAGTGAACACAAGGTCTTGAGTTCAATCTCTAGTGTACACACACACACACACACACACACACACACACACACACACGGAAAGAAAAGGAAAGAAAAAAAAGAAAGAACAGACTTAAAGACTTGAGAGAAACTCTTCTCTGCAGAGCTCAAAGTCTCTTTTAGCTATTCACTGATACCTGGTCTTCCTGGACTTCAAAGTTTGTTTCCTCAACCCTGCCAGAGTCTACAGGGACTTCTCCTTCCTGTGTTGTATATGGGAAATTCTATTACAGTAAGCTGAAAACAATTAGAACTCGCTTCATTTTTTCCTCATCTCTCAGGGACTACTGCTTTATGCTGCTTGATATCCAGTGCTCTTGATAACCATTATTTCATCTATTTTGTTAGAATTCAAGCTATTTCGGGTACAAGGGTAAACGTGATCCTTCTTATTCCATCTTAGCCAGAAATTGAGAACGAAGTATTTACATTTTATTCTCTTTGGATATAATCAGTGGTAAAGTGAAGTTGGCGAGCACTGAGAGTTTTGTAAGAATAATGCAAAAATAGAAAACTACAAGCATATGTTGGTATTCCACAACTTTTAACCATACCATATGTCTAATAAGGGAAAAAAACAGGTAACACAGCATTTTTTCCAAATATTAATACAGTGCTTTGTAACTTACATTCTTTACCTCCAGATTTAAATAATCCATTACACCATAAATAAAAAGAAAATTCGTCATAATATATAACAGTGTATAATCAGAATGGAATAATCTGGATTAATCAGGTCAAATCTATCATGTAAATGTTTTTGGTTTGCTTTGCTGTTATTGGGTTTGGACTCAGGGCCTCACATTTTCTAGGCCTACTTGACTGGTTATGTTCTGCCACTGGAGCCATGGCTCCAGCTTGATATTTTATTGTTTATTTTAGAGACAGTTTTGTGACCTCTCTGCCTAGGATTGGGTTCAAATGAAAATTCTCTAGTGTTAAGCCTTCTAAATAGGTAGGATTACAGGTAAAGCCACTGGCACTTAGCTTTTTCTTTCCCATTCCTTTTCCCTTTCCCTCTTCTCTCCTTTCCTCTCTCTCTCAATTCTCCTGTCTCAGCCTCCCATAGGCTGAGATTATAGTTGTTTCACCATACCAGGCACCTAAAGAAATTTTTGATCTATATATTTATTCACATTAACCTTTTCCATCGTACATTCACTGATATTTACACATTGAAATTTAATAAATTTACAATGTTAGTAAAGTAAGAAAATAATGACCTTTGAGAAGTCCAGAGTTATCAATGGGTCCAGGATATACATTTTGCTCTCCCATCTGGTATTTGTCCCAACTGTCAAAGCCAACATATTTTTTCCACTGTTTAAACCAACGACTATCTACCAGATACCTAAAAAAGAAAAGAAATTGATTAAGAAAATTAGCAGGAAATACAAAAACAGTAATTTTTGATATTTTGATAATTCCATTTTGTCTAAAGAGCATGTCTAACTAAAAAGGTTACTGAGAATAAGTAAGAGTATAAATAATATAAAGCATTATTTTTATTGTCCCATAGTGTCTACTACTTGAGCACAAGCATTGATATAAATTTAAAAAAAAAAAAACCATAATACCTTGTAGCGCTTTACAAAGCATAGTAATATGTCAATAGAACAAAAATTCAAATAATTACAAGAATCAACCAAAACGTTTTAAGTTTTGCAACATGGGAAAATACAATATAAAAAGTATCTTTACTAAAAACTTACATTGTATGTTTTTTATTTCATGTTTTAGTGCAATTTGGTTTTGAATTAAAAAGGTTGTTATTAAAGATTTGCAACAGTTATGACAATTATAATTGACTTAAAAATTCTTAATTATTGTTCCTATATCACCAAAAGTTCTTAACAATAATTTGTCACTGATCATTCCTCATCTGGTAGTAAAATGGACTGGGGCATATTTAAACAAAGTTGAATTGTAAGTAAAATCCAAAGTAAAGGTTAAGGATATGTGTGTATAATATAGATTTCTCAGGAGACCACCAGTCTAATGTTTTCAGGGCTTACCACATATAGGACTGGGAAATAAAAATCCACAGTTGTGTCTGAAAATACAGCAAAGGCACTCATGTAATTACCCTCACAATTCTTCAAGAATATTCATGTGTGATTTAATTCTCTAAAAGTAGGTATTCAGAATTATCATGTAGCAGTATTTTAAACCCACTGTTTGAGTTATATAACTGAAAGCCTTCACATTGTGGAATTGAAGATGGAAGAAATCTAGAACTGAGGCAGTACATTTAAAGAAACTCATTTGCTAAAATTATACTTGGTTGAAAAAAAATCACTAAGAAATTTAGACTCCTTCCTCCTAATTTAAGTAAGAACATAGACATTTGATTTGCTTTCTTTGCAAACAAATGTCAAACAGGTATTTCCCCTATTTCATTCACCAGGTAGCTATCATTGTGCTCATAGCGATACCATTGTACAAATTACTTTTATCTTGATATTGTTGAGGGCAAGCTCCTCAGCTTGTTCTTACTAGTTGACTTAGTATTTATTACTTTACTATTTATTGCCATTTGCTTTTTCATATAAATTTTAGAATAAGTATACTGTATTCCACAAATTGATCTAAAGGTTTTAGATTACATTAAACTTATAGGTAAGTTTGGGGGAACTGCCACCTTTATAAAACTGAGTTTACTGGTCCACAGTAAAAACATATTTCTCTATTATTCAGGTACTACTAATGTCTTTCAATAGATATATTTTCCCATAATGATCTCACTTAATTTGTTGGTTTTAGTCTTAGAAATCTCAGTTTTTCTATATGATTTTTACTTTTCCAGTCAGCTACATTTTATAAATGCATATAAGTGATACATATAAAACTTTAATTTCTTTTGTGTTGGTCTTGAGACTTGACCTCAGGGATTGGGTTTGGTCTTGAGGCTTGACCTCAGGGATTGGGCACTGTCCCTGAGCTTTTTTTGCTCACAACTAGCACTGTACTACCATAGCTCCACCCTTGGTTTTTTTGGTGGTTAATTGGATTCAGTGAGTCTCACAGATTTTTCTGCCCAAGCTGGGTTTCGAACTACAATGTTTGGCTCTCAGAATCCTGAGTAAATAGGATTAGTTACTCAGTGTTACAGTGTAAGCCACTGGTACCTGGCTTTAAATTTATTTTTCAACTGATACATAAACACACACACACATTTTGGACACATATCCAATTGTAAAATGTTTAAGGCAAGGCAAATTTACTTCCTCAAGCATCATTTCATTACAATAGAAATATTCAAAGCCCTTTCTAGTTTTTGGAAATCATCAATGAGATCATGTTCTATTTGTCTTTATGTATCCGGCTTATTTCACTTAACGACCTCTGGTTCCATCCATGTTGTACTTTGTCACTTTTTGATGGATAAGAGTATTTCATCATGTTATGTCCATATTTTCTTTCTTTTTTTGGGGGGGGGGGGGTCCGGTCGTGGGGCCTGAACTCTGGGTCTGGGCGCTGTCCCTCAGCTCTTCAGCTCAGGGCTAGCGCTCTACCACTTGAGCCACAGTGCCACTTCCGGCTTTTTTCTTTTTGCTTATGTGGTACTGAGGAATCAAACCCAGGGCCTCAGGCATGCAAGGCAAGCGCTCTACTACTGAGCCACCTTCCCAGCCCCCATATTTTCTTTAATTCATTCACCAGTTGATGAATACTGAGGTTATGTCTAGGAAAGAGTTACCTATTTTTTGTGTGTGGGGGGGAGGGGGGAGGGAGAGGAGGGAAGGGCTGAACTCAGGGCCTGGACTCTATCCAGAGCTTTTGAGCCTTTTGAGCTCAAGGCTAGAGCACTACCACTTTGAGCTACAGCGCCACTCCAGTTTTCTGGGGGTTAACTAGAGATAAAGACTCTCATGGGCTTTCCTGCCGCAGATGCTTTTCAACTGTAATCCTCAGATCTCAGCCTCCTGAGTAGTGATGATTACAGGTGTGAGCCCCTGGTACCCAGCTGAAATAGTTACTTATTAAGTGAATAATCTCATATCCATCAACTTCTTAAACTCTTAACATTTCTCTTTTGTTGGAGATTCTCTTAAGTTTTTTACATAAAAAGTTCATATTACTGTTGAAAATAACATGTTTTACCTCTTTTTAAATTCCATTCTTACTTTTCTTACCTAATTACTAAGAGACAGGTATCTTTGTCTTTAACAGGAGTATCTAAAGTTTTACCATTAAGTAAGACAATCTGTTACAGGTTTGTGATAAACATTATTTGTTCTCTCTAAAACATTTAGTTTATTACATTTAAGTGCTGAATGTATGAAAATTTGTGCTCTTAATAAAGATTTTTTCCTTAACTTTTCCAAATTAAATTAAGACAACTTTCCCTGTTTAATACCTAAAATATAGTTTTACAGGCAGGAATTATCTGTTCCTTAATGATTTGATAGTACTTATATAAATAGATGTTAATTCTGATATTGTATGGGAGGGTGCATTTTTTGGTTTCCAATTTATTTTCTCAAATAGTTACTAGCATTTATCCTTAAAATGGAAACATATTTTCCAATTAGTTTTCTTAAATAGCTAATGTTGTATCCATTAAAATAAAATACAAACTTGAGATAACACTAAAATGAGCATTTATAAAATATCATTTATAAAACTACTTGTAGAAAAGTATCAAAATTCAACTTTTATTTACCTAAAACTTTTATTTACCTATTTAACTAAAAATGAGCTTTTACCACTATAACATTTCTTTTTTTTTTTTTTTTTGGGTCCGGTCGTGGGGCCTGAACTCTGGGCCTGGGCGCTGTCCCTCAGCTCTTCAGCTCAAGGCTAGCGCTCTACCACTTGAGCCACAGCACCACTTCCGGCTTTTTTCTTTTTGCTTGTGTGGTGCTGAGGAATCAAACCCAGGGCCTCGAGCATGCAAGGCAAGCGCTCTACCACTGAGCCACCTTCCCAGCCCCAACATTTCTATAACATTTCTAGATCAACATCTTATGATAGTTTTATAGATAGGAGCCTTTCCTATTTGAAAATATTTCACATTTCTGTTACAGGCACATATGTCTTAGACATAGGACTTTGTAGCAATGAAACCTCAGGGAAACAGACATAATATAAGCATCTATTCTAGGAATAACGTAGAATTAATAGGAATAGGAATGCATTTACACAGATTTCATTTCAAAATCTTTACCTAAACTCATTATACAATAAACTCTATTCCTAAATCTATGAAATCTGCCACAATCCCAATATTCCCCAATATACACTGATAAAAACCCAGAACTGAATCAATAAACAAATTACAAGTAGGCAAATTACAATAAGTAAACAAAACCTTTAATACTTAATATACTACTTGGGTATAGATGAGTCCAACTTAGCTTTTGACTTTAGGATCAAACAAAAATTCTTAATATTGCCTCAAAAATCAAAGTTGCAAGTCAAAATCTAGAAGTCAAAGTCTTAACCCTCAAGCTCATGGCATCAGGAAAGTGATTAGATAATGAAGCTGTGACTCTTGCCTTTATAAAAGAGGTCCCAAAGAGACCCTTTATCCTTTCTGTCCAGGAAGAACATAGTAGAAGATGCCATCTTTGAATCAGCCAAGTGAGCCCTTACCATATCCCAAATCTGTCAGCTTCTTGCCAGCTTAGATTCCCCAGCCACCAGAACTGTGAGAAGTAACTTTGTTGTTTTTGAAGCCATCTATTAGTTTAGTTCTTTGTAATAGCTGAACTGACTAAAGCATCTAATTAATTTCTATAAATTTTCATTTATCGGCCTACTTTCTAAATTCTTCCCACAGGCAAACTTCATTTTTCAGGATAAAAGGTAGTATTTACTGTGGTATTTATGTATTTCTCAATCATTTAACATTAATGTAACAGTATACTACAAAGCAGGAACTAATGGCTCATGTCTGTAATCCTACCTACTCAAGAGGCTGAGATGCAAAGATCTCGGCTCAAATTCAGCCCAGGCAGACAAATCCAAGAGACTTTTCTCTCAAATTAAACAGCAAAAGGTCAGAAGTAGAGGTATGGCAAAAGTGGTAGAGTGCCAGTCTTGAGAGAAAAAGCCAAGCAAGAGCAAGAGGCTGAGTTTAAGAATCAATAGCAGCATGATACACAAAAATTATGCTACCATTTTTATTAGTTTTTGTTGTTCTTGTTATTGCTTTGTGATAAACAAAGGATTCACTAATTCCATAAACCTTTCTTTGTCAAACATGAGATTAAAATGGAAGGAATACTACCAAACATTCTATGAAGCCAGTATTTCACTCAACCTAAAACTGGACAAAGATAGAACACCAACAAGACCATAATTTCTTTTATAAACATAGATGCACACATTCTCAGTAAAACTTTG